TGAACTGAACGGGCTGGGTTAGAGAGAAGCTACTATACAGAGGACCAATAAAGACTCAGAGTTAACTCAAGGCTGCTAGTGCGGGTTGACGTGCCATGGTTTAGCACGGGGAGAAGGTCAGAAGAGTCAGTATTCTGATTGATGATTTCTTGTCACGTGATGTTTAACTGGCCACAAGACAAAACACAGGGGAGTCCCTGCCGAGACGAAACGGTTGTTCATTGTTGTCTGAGATCGGTCAATGACTTCAATAAAATTCAACAATTTTCACGGCCCGATACTAGTGAACAAAGCTAATAATATATGTACACCAAAAATAGGTGTGCTGCATAGAAATGAGTTTAACAATAAAGTAACTGATAATTAGTTTTATTGTATCCAATAGATCGAAAAAACAACTGACACAATGTAATTTCCATGGTTCACATCACAGACTGATCTTAGTTATGCAACCAGTGAATAGTAGAGTTCAACCATATCGAATGTGGGACAGTTATCCACCCTAGACAACGACAGATGTCCACAAAATATAGAGAATTTAATGGAATTAGACGTGTATACCATTGTATTCTAGTTCAGTGGTCTAGAGGTTAAGAATTCGTGAGCGAGTCCAAAAGTTCTGAGTTCTACTTCTTGTGAGTTTGTGGACGTGGACACCACTAAGTCAAATACTAGGACTGAAAAGCTGTTCAGTGGTTTCTGGATTGTAATCGTTATCTAACTAAGATCAACCAATGACTTGAAATATGAAAATTCAAGTCTCCGCAAACCTTTCGACATTAATAATGTAGTTCGTTTATCAAGTACCAATTCACATGTATCAATCAGGTTAAGATATTATTTCTCCGGCATAAATGTTTAGACATACATAAGTAAAGCAAAATTGATCAAACAGATTTAATCTAGTGTTGTTAAAAGATAAATGATCTAATCATTAGAACGCTGGCCCACTAAGTTAAAATGGATGATTATAATCATCATGAAATCAGAGATACCAAAACATACCAAAACTACAATTAAATGCATACATACATTCAGATATAAATATATATGGAAAAATTTGGTGAAACATTTTCGAACAATCTACATATACATATAAGTAAATGTTACCTTCAACTGAAGAAGTTCTGTCAAGCAATCTATGAGTTATGGATTTCAATACAGTATTATTATCATTCTTATTGATGTCAGTAACAAGATCCACTCCTTCCATTTCTTCTACTTTCGGATTAATCTCAGCATTTGTTTTATCTGAATAAAGTTGAACAACTAAGTCTAAGATAGCTTCAACATGAAATTCTATACGAACAGATTGACTCGATGGAATAAGTGTGAATTTATTAATATTATTATCCTCATTGGAATTATTATTATTATTAATTACAAATCCACTTGACGACGGTTGTAAAAGTAGACATTTTGCAATAGGATGTAATTCCAAACCTGTCTATAAACAGTAGAAGAAATAACAGTGTATGCAATGAATAATAATATACATAATTAAGAAAAAAGCGTTAGCGAAATGAAAATGATGAAGTATTGTTTAAATAATCTAAAAAAACTCCAAGGACTGATTTACAATAACTTCCAGCCTAATGATATGATATAATGAACAAGAATTAGGTCTAAAACAGTCAGTCAGACATTATAATTCATTGGACAGTGAATGGCCGAAAAACTAATTTCTTCCACTCAGTTTTTACATTTTATATTATATCTTGTGTCAATATTTTGCATAAAAGTATTTCATTCTATGACATGTAAAAATTTCATTCTTCTGGGTTTGTCTTTAATTTCAAACAATTCGGCGTCTTATGTAAAGTATACAGGCTTACGATCAGCCATTACTCGCCTAATTCAGTATGATTGCAGATCGTATCTCGATAAGTGTTTCTTTTCTTTCATTTCAATAATCAGAAATTCCTCCACAAAATCATAAAAACTCTAATCTATAATAAACTAACAAACGGTACAGTATAGTTGGACATATTTATCACTCTACTACTGATCATAAAAATTTTATTAACTCTGACAAGTGTTCATGGCTGATGAAATCTTGGCATGGATACGAAATGTGATCATGGTGTTTTCCAACTTCCGCCAAGTTTGGTGTGCGCGAGCTATCTGGTTATCAAGGGGTGAGTGGACCAAACAGCAGTTTATCCTGAATTAATTTATGGTTCTGGAACATGGCTTATGTAGACAGATATGCCTAGGTTGCTGCTAGAGTTTGTTTATAAATGTCTTCGAATTAATAGAGTAAGTAATCTTACAGTTATTGGTAGGCTAGTAGATGAAGATAATGAATTCGCTAATGAGACTGTAGACTTCCGTCTGCTGGGGCTCCTTGAAGACGCAGTACTTACGCCTAACAGTTGTCTATCCTGACTTCCAGTATGACTAGAATATAAGTAGATTGAAGAAATATTAATAACAGTCATGTCAAGATATAGGATTAATCTAGGAAGTCACTGACTGTTGGCCTAAAAAATGTCAGATGTAGAAATACTGGTTGGGATACAAGTAATAATCTCAATATTTAACTTTACATTCTGTACGATGCTTGTCATTTATACTAATTATAGGAATTATGTGTAGAAACCCATAAACACTAACTGCATAAGGTAACTTGTGACTTTAAAAAGATGTAGGTATTTAACATAATTCCATCAACATTAAACATGGTCTATCCATCAAATGAACAAACTAAGTTGTTAAAATTTCTAAGGAAACTTGAAGAAAGCTTTTAGAAAATGCACCAAGTACTAAGAGTTGTTTGTGAAGCTCACTTATTTAAGAAAACATATCTTTTTACATAAATCATGCGTTTCAGTCAGGGGGTTATGAAGACTGGTAGAATAGCAACAACCAAAATGAACACGCCGATCTCCGACATTAGTAAAAACGTCAAAACATACCGGCCTCTTGTGCTTTCCGATACCCAATTCACTGTTCCAGTATTGATAAACTAGAGTTAAGAAATTATGTGTATACATGATCCAAACAAAACGGTGTGAAACGATGAGAGAGTTAATAAACCTAATTCCAAAAACAATTCCTAAAGATGTTATAAACAATGAAAATAGAGATGGAACAGACGTATCGTCAAAAATTGAGTTTTCGAAGGAGATGAAATAAATGTGTCCTAAATTTTTGTGATGGAAGCTTACGTAGTAATAGGATAGATTGTAAGTATTCAACACCAATAAATTCAAATCTCTCATTGATAACTTCGTCTACACAAGACTGTAATTATTACCTTTTATACATCAAAAATATGAAATATGTGTAATAAGCATTATAACTATCGAAAGACCTTACTTGCCAAGCAAATATCGACACAGGATGGTGTGGATAAGTATAGATGCGATCTGACCATGAATGTAGTGGTACAAATATACCCGATAAATTCTTATTTTCATCGATTTGAACAGGAGACTAAAATTGACAATTTAAACATATAAATGTCTTCTTAAAGGTTGAAAGAAAAAGGGTATGTGACATAGAATGACAAGAAATTTGAAAAAAAAACAAATATAATATCGCCCATATATAGGATAATTTCATACAGATGGACTGAGATCACTTTCCAAATTATAAACATGTGTAACAACATATCAACATCACAAAATGCTCCCACATGGCCACGCGTATATAGCCTCTGCCAAGGAAGTCCTCATTGCCTTCTCGTGGCATTACTATTGTTTACGAAATTGAGAGGAAGAAAAGCGAATGTCCGGCACTTTAACCGGGTTGGTAGACATGGAGATTCCACCTAGGGGAGTTGGAAAACCCTGATTCCGAGCCAATGGTGCACATGGGCTCCAGTATCCTGAAGGAACAAATGGAATATGAACCAATTGTTGGTCACCGGTTACCGTGGGAATGCATCTCCTTACGATGCTCGACTGCCTTGTGGGTCAGACCTTCAGGTCGAGGGCTCCGGGTGTGGCCCCATAAGAAAACCACGTGCTTCGGTTTGAGCACCCGTGCAGTATCAAACCCCTCACACATATCAAATGAGATTTGTGTGGCGCATATATATTTGGTGCCTCCTTTGTGCCAGTATTAATGTGTTCAAATAAATGTTTTAGGTGAAATGTAAAGAAAAAAGAAAAACCACTCAAATCAGTAAAATAAATATAGATATTTGCACATGGGTCTGATCTAGACATAATTACTGAAAAAGTTAGTAATCCAACCTCATTTTCCAAACTAAAATTAGTAAGGATGATAACAGTGATACTATAATAAAATGATAAAGTCAAGTGAACTCATCTAAAGCCAGTAGACCGTAATTCTGAAACCTGCTACAATTACTTGATTCGGGAAGCACTCACATAAAAACTAAGAGCACATAAACTTGTACAATGTAAATAAATTACAGCAATGAATCAAATTTTTTCATGTTCGTATAACTTGATTATAACTGATAGAGTTTTGGCTATTGAATGTTCTAAACAAATCTGAATTACAGTAAGTCGATTGGATCATCTTTAACTAATCAGTGATATAATAGACAGAACGGAAGTATTATTATTGTGTAAATTCTGAGTAAACTGTAGCTTCGTAATTCAGGTTATTAGAATACATATTGTTCATTTCTAATTCGTATTCTAGGTTAGGGATAGTCAAGTGCATTTTAGTGTTCACGAGATAAATGCTAAATAGTGGAAGAACATAACATCATAAACTGCTGTTATATAAAAATCCACTCACAACTGAACAATTAATCGTATCATCTTAACTTGGTACTCTGAATAAGGTAGGTTAATGCATACCTACAACAACACAATCGTACGAGATCAAACCAATGACCTTTGGATTTTAAAAAACATAGACAAGAATTTCCACAAAACCATTTGACTTATTTGTTCTTTTTTATATTTACGAATCTCAATTCTTCACCACATATTAACAGGAACAACATGATTAAAACACTATATTAAAGACTAAACATATTATATAAAATGATACGATGTTACCGTTACTACTACCTTGCTGCCTAAACCATCCTCAGTCATTCAACTAGTTAGTCACAATCAACATAGAACCTGGCACAAATGAACATATTCCTCGTGCGAATTGGGACCATAGAAAGAGCAACGTAGAGGCTAGACACAGAGTACAGAGTAAGGGTGGTAAATCGATTGGTGAGGGAGTGAATCTTCATCAACTGAGGTGATTGAGACAATTATCGTTTATGCTCAACCACCGCATATCCTGAGGCGAGATGTCTGCTGGTGTAAAAGGTTGAAAGAAAGCTAGAAGAGGCGAAACAAATATATGGAGTCTATCCATGAGGACACTGACTACTGAATTATACCAAGTATGTAGATTGAGCCTATTTAGTTGGGGTCCACGTGATTATCTTAAGTAATGGTTGGTGACGTTGAATAATATGGCATACCTATACTTTTCATTCTTCTCTAATTCTGTATATATAATCTAGCCTGCTCTACCACTGATAGTTACTACATCTACTACTCTAACATTTGTTTTGATAATTTGATCACGTTGCGATGATTGTATGGTGGCTTAAACAGATGCACAAATGTACCAGGTCCTGCTTTGCTCATAACTAACTGAGTGACAAATATGCAACATCCCGATTTGTAACAAAATACCAGCACAACGAGATAAAACTTAAAAAGCGAATAACGAATAATCAAAATAGTTGTAGCAGTAGTGTTGATTATGAGAAAGAATAAGCATTCGAGAAAAGAGTTTGTGAAGAAGGGATGAAATCGAGGGATAAGAAATAATATTGAGGTTAAAGACTCAAGGGAAAGCAAAGATGAGAATGTATGTTCCACTGCCAACAATTTGATGTCTGAAACGTGTACATAGAAATTATCAGGTTAAATATAAGTTTAAAGTATCGTTTTTACTATTAACCTATGGTAAGGTACATATTCGTATACTTGACTTTAATCCACCCTTTGTCTACGGAGGCTAGTGATACCACCTGGTTGCCCAAAGTGAAATAGATGAAAGTAGATGAAAGTTGAACGCTTTGACCACTGTTAAGCCACCGCTCCAGTAGCCATAAAAAATCAAAGCATTCACCAAATTTTAAAAACAATGACTGAATAAGATAAATATTCATTTTAAAGAAATCACATTTTCAACTCTCCCTTCAATGTACAACTAAAACAAATCTGATCAACTTACCATTAAAGATGGGATAGATAAAACAGGATATTGTTTGGACCTTTTTAACATTATAACATTTGATGTTAAATTTTTCATCTCACCATTATTATTATTATCACATGTATTTTTATCGAACCCATTGTTTGTAAACAATTCAACAGTGCTTTGAATAGTATTATTCAAAGTGGAAAACTGGATCATTAATTCTGCAAGCTTGTTATTATTTAACGAATTTGTAACTGTTGACAATACACTAACAACACTAGGAGAACGTACTGATTTGATAGATACAGGAAAATAAAGCTTTTGTTGTTGTGACTGAACATGTTGACTAGATTGAACATGTAACTGATGTAGATAAAGTGCATTCCATAGTTGACGGATAGTTACAGCAGTTGTCAAATCTGAATCACCGATTAATCGTAATTGAAATTTTGAAGGAATTTGTTGTTGTTGCTGTTGTTCTTTGGAAACACCAGTGACAATCTTATAGACCCAAAAATTTCACAGGATATCAATGTTAATAATATATATAGTTATAATTATTATGTAATAATATATATTAATACATAATTCAGTGTAGTAATGATTACTGTTAATAAGTCAGTCATTATTAACGTGGAGATCGACAAAAATGTGCGATTGGCCCAAGTTACTAATACACTGTTAGTACGAAAACATGAAATCAATTAGACAACTAACAAATAGATCTAAATAATGTATTAGTAATGATAATAAATGAACATTGAGAATATCTTTCAAAATGACAAAGTGGAAAAATACATAAAGGAATATTGAAGAGGAAGACTACATTTGAATGCATCTGTGCGCTATTGTGAACGACTCTGCGCTATGTCACTCGAAGTCTCCAGCAACTGATCACGATTATCGTCCGGAACCCAATCAGGTGGTTCGCATCTACCAGTATGGTTATTACTGTATAGCATCTAAATAAGAATTTCGTTTTGTAAAATTCTACTCTGTCCGATGAATATTTGAATTGATATCATAATAACCATGGTTTTGAAAAAATTAGAGTGGAATCATGTTATCATTCTCACAAAACTTCTCATTTTATTGCAATTCACTCATCCTATCTCCATTCCTATTACTCGAAACAGTCCTAGAAGTCTTTAAAAGTACGACTTCTCCAGTCGTCTTTTCGTCACACAATTTTCTCATTTGTAAGTATTTTGCTGGAGCCTTGTGTATAGACACTCTTCCAAAATCCAGCTCATCAGGAATAAATCGGAAAGTGAGGTGTCTATCAGAAAGACCAGTGGCTACCCTTACCTTATATCATTCTTGCAGTCTTTCTGGCCCTTACTGAAGCTCTTGATTCATTCTAAAAAGAACTATTTAAGCTAGCACCGAAAAACTTTGACGTTTCGGTTCGCTCATTAAATTAACGGAAAGTATAGTTACAAAAAAACGGAGAAACACGTCTGAAAATGATTTTCACCAAAATTTGATACTCCCAAGTGTAGAATTTTGAATCTATACAAAATCCAACTGATTAGTATGTGTAAAAAGAAAGAATATAAAGAGATCTAGTTTAATAAAAATGCAAGTTGCTGGAGTGGAATCCAAGAAACATACGTTGGTCACTCATGATTCACAAAATGATGTCTACTTTTTATGACAGTTACTATTAACTTATTCGATTCACATAAGCAACACTAAATAATTGCTAATGTCATTTATTTAGCTGCTTCCTGACAAGCTAAATAGTACTACCTAATTACTTGCTTTTCTGAAATATAATACCTGGTCACTCTCTACAGCTAGATCAAACGGATCTACTTGACAAACACCAACGTTGATTAGACCACGACATGTAAATTCTTCGATTAGATGTGGTATCCAGTGTTCACACAAAACTATACGTAGTAAGCCCCGGACAAAACAGTGATTAGCTGCAAATTTACTGGTTATTAGACGCTGGAAAGCAAAAGGATATATTCATTCAAAAGATGAGAATATGATAACTATCAAGTAACTTAGAAAAATGACACACGACAATTTGAAAACAACACGCAATCATTTATTCTCAACAGTTGTAGTGCTTATCAGGTGAACATTACATATACACTGAACACCTAGACCTCAATGGGTGAAGATTAAACTTGGCTCTGTTATTTATATCTAGACTGAAAGTTTAGGCTTTGCAAACTAATGAACCACACTATCCAAGTAGAAGTAATTAGAAATTATTTTTATATGATGAAACTATAGTCAATCAATTTTAATGCTGATATACTTAGAAGTAGATTGCGAACATAAAAACTCGAATGGAGGCAAAAATATCACTGTTATTTCAGGAAATAAATAGTGACCATAAAACTTGTATCATCCTTGTCATTCATGTCTACGAGCTAAAAAGCAGAAAGATGTTTTAACAGTGCGTTTCAATAGTCTTTCGAGTTCCCTCGAACAAATTACTTGTTACACTTACAGTATCTAGTTAAGCTCATTTGTGCTTGATTTGGTAGACTTAAGATTCAAGTGAGAATTGGATTCCGTGACCTATCAGATGAAATTCACTGATTCAATGAAACTGTGAACTCGTAACTTCATGGTTAGAGCTACTGACTATCCAACCACTGAATTGTAGATTCAAAACTCACTATAATCTTACTTTATTTTGAGTAACCGAAAAGTATCATTAGAAGTCACATAAGATGTGTGATTTAAAACTGAATACATGAATCTTTGATTGATTTTCAAGATCTGTTCATTTCATGACATATGTTTGCCATTTTACATAGAAAAACCTTTTCTATGCGCAGTGGTTTCGGCCAACTGACTGTTCACTTAGCAGCTAAGTGCTGAAAATTAGTGTACTTTTTATTAAATATTTCATTTCATGCCGTAACTTTTCATCCCACATGTTGAGCTACGCTATAATAACATGTTTATAGCGGACAACTGGAATGAAATCTCCATTGAAAACTACACTTTAACATGCAACGCTTACTACATAAATGGATAAGAAAATGACTGAAACTGTTCGGTACAATAAATTTATGGAATATTGAAAGTACTGTACCTAGCCTTGGCTGTTTAGTATCATAGTATACATAAATTTTTACCTGTCATAATAAGTAAATACATGATAAACTAATCTTAACACTGAAAATTGAAATAAGAATCTAACCACGACATAAGCGTCCTTCATTTTTACCGTACTTAAAAATATAGCTTCGTTAAAGTTTACTCGGCGATTCATTTTACAAAGTAATTGTCTTATTTGTATGAACACCGTAAGGGTATTTAAAAACAAAAGGTATGCACAAGTATTAATCTTATTTCCATGAGCATAATCACTACTTTGGTTTATCGTTGTTCTTATCTGAGTGTTAGATGAGTTTGAAGGAAAAGCGGAAGTTTTCCAACGTTCATTGTTTTTTATAGCTGATGTTGGAAAGTATTTACTCTTAATTAACAAGCAAATACACATATAATACAATAATATACACTACAGCACTAGACATCCAAAACAATAGAACTTTACGAGCAAAACAAAGTATGCATCCACAAAGTAAAACTCACTTTGGGATTATGAAACCATAAACAAAGAACTAAATTTCGTACAGCTAAGTACAATGTAGGAAAACTGGAACAAATAAATGAAACACGGAAGAAATAAATGATACATAACCTCTCAACATGAATGTATAAATCAAACATTGTTCTAATTAGTTAGAACTGAACTACTACTAGATCTCAAAATTTCACATTGACAGATTCTGTATACAAGATTTTAGTCTCAAAATGAATAATGCTTTCTTGGAATTAATCAGCACATATAGGATATACATACTGACGTAAGACACTATATTGAATTTACAAATACAGTGGACATAATAAAAGTGACTCTATAACTTGTACCATTAACATGACGAGGGAGGTATCTTCTCGAAGGGTCCATTTGCAGTTCAAGTTGGATCGACATTAAACTTTACCAGAATTAAGAATATAATAGGGATATACACATATGCAATGTATGTTAGATGATTGAAAGTAGTCAGTAGGAAACTCTTGATCTAGGTTCCATGTTAGCTGACACTCGTCAGCAAGATGTATGTGCAATCTCGAAAGAACAGACGCTTACCTGGAGGACTCGAACCATAGTCAGTGTATACAACTGACTTCAAACACGGTGGATGGCTAAATGGCATAAAGTTTATACATGATCAATAAAGAAACCTGGATCGTCGCTAGGAAACGTAATGTAATAGGAATGCTTTAGTAAAGTGAGGATATTTATCACATACCATCTAAGCTAACCTAGCAAAAAAAGTGTGTAGAAATTTTAGGCCTCGAAATAAATGGTATACATCTCATCCGCTATAGTGCTATAGTGTCGTATTCTAGTCTGTTACTTATAAACCTATTACACGAAAGTTAACAATATTACTTCGTCACCTATATTAAATGGGGAAGTCAAAGTAATTCATTGTGCTAAACACTCGCACACGTACAAAAATAAACATAACGATTAAACGATGAAAACTAATGAACTAATCCCAAATTAAACTTCGCAGTAAACATTAGCTACATACCGTGACATTTCAGAGAATGAAAATCTTTCCCAAGCGTGTAAATCAATCGGAGAAAATGCCCCATCCTCTTCAAACACACTAAAAGGACTGTCAGAAGACACTGATCAAAGAAAAACAAAATGAAATTATTACTGCGATTCTATGACAGTCATAATTATGAGATTGTACAAAAAAAGTTTTGAGGGATGAATATAAGAAATGAGAAAATGAAAGTCTATTAACTATAAAACAAATATTTGAGCACAATGTAAGTTTTCGCTAACTGACAAGTATTCATCTTGGTACATTTATGATGACGGATATTATTTTGTGATCTAATTCGCCATAGCTGTGAACCTTTTCTTTTTTTTGTCTTTCTTTGCCATAACATAATTCTCTCTGAAAATGTACATCTGGTAAATCAGTGCAAAAGTCGATTAAGTTTTATTACAACACATAGGTCATTTCAACTAATCATCTGTCACCGTCAACAAATAAAATAAATAAATCTTAGAATTACAGATTTAATCGAAAGACATTTCTGTTGCGTAATCAACCCTAAGAGAGCATCACTACACGATAACGATAATGAATTATGTCACAAAGCTCGGTAAAAATCGACTAGACTATCAGTGGTTGTCAAGATTTATGTTGTTATGTGAATCACATGTTATTATCATCATGCTTTTTTAAAAGATGGAAAGCTCTTAAAAAACAAGTGAGAAATTTCCTTAACTGTATTACTCAAGTAATGATTGTCCACTTGCTATCGAGGAAAATAGAAGAGGAAAAAATAGAAAATATCTACGATGAATAACAACATTAGTTATAACAATTTTAGTAAACATTCCTCGTTGATAACAGATTCTCGATTTTCAGAAATTAGTGTGAAAGTATTTATTGATAATATTGAATCACTAAAAATACGATTATATTTGGAAGAAACCAATACCAAAATTTACACATTAATTTAAGGTAATGTTAATTCAATTAAATTTGAATGCATTTTCATTGCAATTTTTGTGTAATTTTTCATTGAAATGGCATTTGTTCAGTTTGACAAATTCTATAGGAAATAATCATGTTGCGAACGAGAACACGGGTTGGAACAACCGATTGTATGTTAATACAAAATTACAGAATCTATTGGTAAAATATGAGAACCATGCACTGAATACTTTATTTGCGAATTTAAATCATTTGTCCTTCACATTCTGTATGATTCGTCCAAGTTACAATTCCCTCCTATTTCCGTTCATGTTTTCATCAATTCAATCCTCATAGTCTTCTACTATCTACCCATATTATTATTGTTAATTTTGTCGGTTGTAAGTGTGGAAATATACTCAAGCTCTAGTCAGGCCAGTCACATGTTTCTGATCCCAGTTGTGTTGAAGCCCCGTAGTATAGATACTGGGAGGGTACCTAGTGTAGATATTCGTCTAAGGTAAACTAACGTCCCATTTGTGTAAGAGAAGTAACCAAGTGTTACTCCAGTAATTGGTAAATAACTTAATGAATTCAGATGACAATCAACGCTTCTTGAATCTTTAACAATATAACATATATACAAGTTTGAACTACTGTCTCTCGTTAGTGACCAGAGAAGGAGAAGATAGAAAGCAGTCTTGTTCATTATCATAAAAGTCCGGATTTTCAGAATTGCATTATCAGGTTAACCAATGATTACTTCTTCGTTTAGATTTCAGGTAAATATCTTATTTCTTGCGGAAGAAATAGGTATATTTGTGATAAAGCGAATCACGAAAAAAAAAGAAAGTCCATGTATCATCTAGCCAAAACTATATGAAATATAACAGACGTTTCAATGTATCTTAGTTTTATCTCTCAGCTAAACTGTTAAATTTCAACTACTATAAAGCACTTATCATAAAAAAGGAAACGCTAACTGATTATACTAGGAAGTAATTCAGTTTCAACAATAAATTACTGCCTCATACGTCAGATAATAGTATAAATTAATGTACATAGAAACATAAGTGTAAGATAAATAACCGCTATTAAAATATTTACCTGGTTTCTCATCTTCATCAGTAGAACCTGGAAGTGGATCAGGGGACAAGCCAGCCAAGTCGACACCATATGACGATGAAACTTTCAGAGCAGGTGATGCTTGCAACCAAGCATGCGTTTGCATGCTTGCCAAAAAGTCATGGGGCCTGCTGATAACAATTTTAGCGCGCTACAATACAGATTGTTGGATAATTTATTTCAAAAAGAGAACAAAGCATTTACAAGAAACAAAACACTGGGAAGAATCATTTCAAACTTAGCTCGGATCCAAGTGTAATAAAATAGGTAGTATATGTATGTACCATTACCAAGGTTTGACTTGATAATTTCGAATAAATTGAGCATTGAGTAGAATGCTATAAATAAATTAATATATTTTTAATATCCCAATGAGTAAAAAAATTAAATTAATCAAATCAAAATTCGGTTATTTATTCTCTGAAGAAGTGGCTTACACTGAGTCACGAAACGTCAGAAAGTTTAATTTTTCTGCTCATTGGGATATTATAAATATATTAATTTATTTATAAGTAGTATTGTATTTACGAAGGATTGAAGTTGGAACTTTGTAGGACTATTATATAGTGAACTACTATTCTTAACCTTACTAATAAGCAATTATTAATTCATTTTGATGGAACTAAGACTCATGAAAAGGACCGAAATGCTACAAATATTAAGTAAATGGTTTATGGTATTGCTGTATTATTTAATCCACAAGCTATTTTTCTACTGGCGATGCTTGCCGTCCACGAATTCACGTACATAAACCTACGAAGGTCTGAAATATGAACAATAAATGATTGCTTGCTTTCTTTTTGGAACAATAGGCGCTGAGGATTAACTAGGTCGCTGATTAAGGTAAACTGTTGTCAATCAGAGTGTGCCATTGGTTAAAGCTAAGGTCATTGAGTGAAGTACACTTGGATTGGTGAACTGTAAACTGGATTTGCACTGATAGAATTTTATATAGTGATTCAATTATGAGATATATAAGAATCAAAGATATAACAGTACCGATGTTCAAGTATTTGAAACTATTATCCCTCATTACATCTACAAAACCTAATTCAAAAATCATTATATTTGAATAACTGTTGTACAAATTGGATTTATTAACTTTATCAAATAATAGGGTTACAAAGTCAAGTGTGGCGAAGGAACTTTCTAAATGTAACAAAGAGAATATAATTAATTAGATAAATACAACTTGGCGACCAACTAGAGATTCATGTATTGAAGTGGTTGTATTTGGTTGCCAATATATGACTAAATGGTTAGATATTCGACAGCTTTAGCTACTATCCTACTTATCTAAACCAGAGATAAATATAAACTAACCAACTTTTTAAATAAACATCAAATCTACACATCACTGCCCAACACTTTTTAATATGTGAAATCAGATAAACCTTATTGGAGAAAAAAATTAACAGCATCATACTATTAATATGTTGGCTTAACTGAAAAGTAGTCATATTAACAAATGTACATCATGAGAATTTTAAAAAAAACATAAAATATGAACTCCATATACTCGTTTGCTTTGTTTTTTAGCTTAATTCATTATCATTATTGTTATGATCTCTTTCTTATGGTTATGACCCAGCTACTTTGCTTAGTATTCTCGGACACCGATTCATTCGACATGTTCCGAAATCAGAACACGGTTGAACAGGAAAGAGATTATATTGTAAATAACAAGGTTAGATGGAAGTAAGAAGCTAATTCTTATCCAATCAGCATGCACCAAGGCAATCGTGCATTGAGCATGCTTTAATCCAGTCTATGTCCCGCTACATGATTAGTTTTATTCCTACGACAACTTTATTGACTGATTTTGTTTTATCGTCTAACCAACATCATCATTTTCACAACCTAAATCCAGTTTAATGAACATCGCAAGTCTGGGTAGAAGGAAAATTGTTGCTTGTAAAACACGTACTAAAGACTTTATTCAATGAAGCTTCACAGCCTAACAAATTAATGTTAGTACTCATCAAGAAATTCATTTCTAACCGTGAAATTATACGGCCGATGGTTTAAATAAATGTAAGCAGCACATCCAAGACATTCGACATTCAATCATAAGCAAACCCGAACTTCATACATCCGTGTATTGCCTCAAGTTGCCGTACCAGAGACATAAATTATTTCAATACGTTTAAATGTTTGGTAGGAGTAGGAGAACAAGAAGAAGAAGAAGAAGAAGAAGAAGAAGAAGAAGAAGAAGAAAAGGAAGACATGACTAGGTATAGAAGAAAGCAAAATGCATAAGATTTCGGGATTTAAGTTCTAGATGAGGAGAAGGGAATGAACCTATACCATTGCGAACAACTTTGAGCCGTGCTATACAAATTCTCTAACCACTGGTTACAATAATCACAAGGACCGCAACGAGATCGTATACACTTATTACCAAGGCTGTTGTTAGGTTTGAAGCTTCGCGAGTTCACTTAAATCTGCGAACGAGAACAAGACTCAGTGACCAAAAACCAGTAATCCAGCTATTGATGCGTTCCAGCCCCACTATCTAGAAGGAGAAGTCCAAGCATGGTATAGAAAATATACTCTGCAAACAGCCAGAAAACGAGCGAGTCCACAACACACTTTAAAACGTATATCTACATATATATATATATATATATATATATATATATATATATATATATATATATATATATATATATATATATCGATATTACCACCTTTTACCTAACCACTGTTATGAATCCGGTGTTCATCATGTTGTGTTGATGCGGTATGGCAACCTGGACCGATGCACATATGTGCCGGGTCCTACGTTGTAGCTGACTGACTGACTGACTGATTGCCATGGAGCTTTTAAACATTTAATCGATAAGTTCAACAATCGACTATGTGCGCGGGTGGTAAGGAATGTCCATGCATACATCTGCATACAAGCTCCACAAAGATAAAATTACAAACTATGAGTTTCGGGGATTTTTCGTCCCCAACACTCCTTCCCTTTTTAATAGCGTGCTTTCCTGGGGTCGAATTGCATCCTGACTGTTGCTCCCCGCTGTCGGAGAGGCCACCTTCTGAGTTGAGGATCAGCTTGTTGTTTAGCTTCTTGTGATGGGGCTGCAGGTAAGTTGAAGGTATCAAGCAAGATGTCGAGGGGAAGATTTACTCCTTTTGATGGGCGGTTCGGGTTTGTCCGCTTCCGTAGTTGATTTTGGTGTCTAGTTCACGTGTTTCTTCCCACCCTTACCTCGTACATAACTTGCCTTAGGCTTCCAACCACACGTGCTTCCATTCAAGGACCATGATTCGCTCTGTAATCTCCAGCGAACACCGGGCATCCGACCTCGTACGCTCGAAGCATCTGAGATTTGGCGTCCCCTACCCTTTTGACTTCATTAGAGCTCTCTTGAATGTATCCACAAATCTTTCTGCCTGGCCATTTGACTGTGGGTGGTACGGTAGAAAGCGGAAATGCTTGATAGATAGGCGTTTGCAAAATTCTTGAAATTGACTTGAGGTGAACTGCGAACCGTTGTCGGATACGATTATGTCCGGTAATCCGTAGCGGGAGAACATCTCTGTCAAAAGTTGCATCGTTTGGGTTGTCGTTGGTGGCATGATGGGAACGATTTCTGGCCATTTCGAAAAGACGTCAACAACGACTAGATAGGTGATTCCATTAATTGGGCCTGCGAAATCGACATGTATCCTGGACCAGGGATACTCAGGCTGTGGCCATGGGACCGGCAGTAATTTGGCGTTACACTTGGCTACTTGCTGACACTGTGTGCACTTGCCTACTAAATCCACAATATGTTGGTCCATGAGGGGCAAATAAGCATAGCTTCTGGCGATGGATTTCATTCGTTTAATACCAGGATGACCAGTGTGGAATCGCTTTAGCACCCTTGACCTTAGGGACTCTGGCACCACTACTCTTTCTCGAAACATCAAGCATTCATTTACGACACATAATGAGTCCCGACGGTGGTAAAGGTGCTTGAAGTCACCATCAAGTCCAGTTGGCAGCCAGCTATTGGTGACGTATTTCATCGCTCTCTTTATGATGGAGTTGTTCTTGGATGCAGATTGTATTTCAGCTACCGAGACTGGCAAAGCACGAATAGAGGTTGTCAGGTAACACTGCGCGTAGTCCTCTGTCATTAGGGAGGCAATAACTGCATCTTCGCCGGCCGTAGGGTGTCCGCTGATAAGTCGTGACAAGGCGTCAGCCTGACCAAACTGTTGAGTGCGCCGATGCTGAATGTCAAAATCATAACCCAGAAGTATCAAAGCCCATCGCTGGAGACAGTTTGCAGAATGGGCTGGAACACCAGATTTCGAACCGAAAATTGTGAGAAGAGGCTTGTGATCAGTGAGAAAAGTAGATCTTCGACCGTACAAGAATTTGTGGAAACGGCGTACTGCAAACACAAGGGCCAGAGCCTCTTTTTCTATCTGACTGTACTTTCTTTTCGCTGAAGTCAATGTGCGAGATGCGTGCATAATAGCTTTCTCTGTTGCGTCCGGGAACTGGTGTGAAATGACAGCACCGAGTCCAAAAGCAGAAGCATCTGCAGCGACAATGATAGGCATGGACAGATCGTAGTGCGTCAGTAACAGTTCAGAGCTTATGATCGTTTTCAGCTTGCGAAATGCAGCTTCACATTCTTTTGTCCAGTTCCAGCTGGTATTTTTATTCAGAAGATGATTTAGCCCGGCGCGTATGTCATGCATCGATGGAACAAAAGCTGAGTAGTAGCTAATTAATCCCAAGAATGGTCGCAGCTCAGAGATATTAGTGTGACTCGGCATCAGTTTTATAGCTCGGATGCTTTCAGCATCTGGTTTGCAACCTGCGGCATCAAAGATGAATCCCAAGTATTTTACTGACTTTAAGAAAAGCTGGCATTTTCTGGGTGTAATCGGAACCCGTTACTGCTAGCGCGTTGTAGTTAAGCTGCCGTGCGTTCTCAAAGCTGTTCTAACGATGTGGCAACAATTAAGATGTCATCGAGTTAAGTCGCGACCGTTGGGATACCCGATAGAATGGTGTCCATTAGTTGCTGAAAAATAGATGGAGCCGTTTTAACACCAAATGGTAGGCGATTGTACTGAAACAAGCCACGATGGGTATTTATGGTAAGTAACTCTATCGAATCTTCAGCCACTTCCACTTGTAGATAGGCATCAGCGAGATTCAGCTTTGCAAAGAACTTCCCACCACTTAACATCGTAAACAAATCTGCAGGGACTGGCAGTGGGTAATGATGCTGTTCGATAGCTGCGTTAAGACCTGTGGAAAAATCTGCGCATATTCGGATTGTGCCATTAGCCTTCTTAATAACCACAATGGGTGCTGCCCAGGCAGAATAAGAAACAGGTGTAATAACTCCCTGTAGTTGAAGGCGGTTAAGTTCGTCATCAAATTTCGATAATGCTGCGTACGGCACTGGTCTCTTTGGATGGAAGACAGGTTTAGCTCCAGGTTTCAACCGAAGTGTTGCTTTCATAGCAGTGCACTGACACAATACAGGCTGGAAAATGGTTGAAAACTCCGTCATTAGTTCTTTCGAATATACTTCAGGTTCATAAGGTTGTTCCACCAGATGGCACATGGTGCTCAAAGGAACGTCAGCTAAATGTAGCCGGTCAAACCAGTCTAACCCAAGTAGATTAAGAGCAGCTGGTGTGATGTAACATACCCCGGTAAACGTCGAATTGTGAAAAGACACTTTACAATCTAGTTGTCCCAACAAACGTAGATAATTACCGCATGCAGTTCGTGGTTTCTGTGTTGTTGGCACCATGCGTGGTCTTCCCATTCTGATCCAATATTTTCATGAGAGAATTGTTACATCAGATGTAGTGTCTATTTGCAATTTAAGCGGGTTCCCATTAATATTAAGGGTGATAAACTTCCTCTCACCTGGGGTTGAGTTCTGACAGCATGCTATTAGACTCAACGAATTCGTGTTGGATCTAGGCGTAAATTTTCTGGTACCTCTGGAGCTGCTCGGCTTC